TTGTCTGTTTCATTGTTTTTTATTTTCCTTATTTGGCGAATGACATAAATTTTACTCTTTTCAATTTTTTGACGTGGACATGGATTCTGAATTTTAGAAAACCAATAAAATTCATTCGAAAAAAAAATCTAGAAAATTGTTTGCTTCTCTAGAAAATCGATTTATAACACTTTCAACACGATTCAAAATTATTTACCGATTTTTCACTTATCACGCATCTTTTGAATTGATTGATGTTTTTAATATATATCATTCATTTTTATGATGCATTTCTACCCAGTCTAGTCCTGTCCTATCTGTAAAAGGAGATTCATGGGATAAAGATGTTTATATCAATAGTGATTTTCATTAGGGCAAAAATAAATATTATTATATCATCATAATTTCACCTAGGCCCTCAAAGTTTACATAACAAAGACACAATGCCATATTAAACAAATATTAAAGTCACAAAATCGAAGTATATCGAAACTGCCGAACTTCTCATCCTCAATCTTATTGGAGAATAAATCGCGTGAAGTTATTCGTTGAAATAATACGCGGCATTTTCAAATCCTTCAACCTCACAAATTACTCTTCATCAGAATTTTCCCATATTTCTAGTGTGTGAAATTATGAATTTTTTTCTAGAATTTTCATGTACAATTACTTCCATTAATCTCATAAATTTCAATTTCTTCCGCTGCATTCTTTTTATTAAAGTCACAAAATCGATGTATATCGAAACTGCCGAACGACTAATCCTCAATCGGATTGGTGAATAAATAGCGTGAAGTTAATCGCTGAAAAAATACGCGGTATTTTCAAATCCTTCAGACTCACAAATTACTCTTCATCATAATTTTCCAATATTTCTAGTGTGTGAAATTATGAATTTTTCCTTTTAGGATTTTCATGTACAATTACTTTCATTAATCTCATAAATTTCAATTTCTTTCGCTGCCTTCTTTTTATTAAAGTCACAAAATCAGAGTAGATCAAAACTATTTTTTCATCACGCTGTGCGAAAAAGTAACTTTTTAGGCACGCTTCGCGTGCCTAAAATGTCCCTTTTCCACACATTGTGATGAAAAATATCGTTCGATACTCGTGGGAAAAGTGTTTTTTGGCTCGTGGGATTATATCACTCACCTTCGGCTCGTGCTATGAACCTCCCACGAGCCAAAAAACTCTTTTCCGCACTCGTAACGAAATATACAATTTTTTTCGTGAATGCCATAAATTTGACTTTTTTTTTTTTCAAACTCAGCCCGTCTGAAAAATTCCCAGAAGACCATTTTCCCTCTCAATCGACTGCACCTAGAACATTTCCCCGAGATTTATATTTAGAGGTCACTATACGCTTATAGAACACACGTGTCGAACCTTAGCGCCGAGGTAAAGTCGCAGAAACACGAGAAATAGCGAAAAATTCCCCCGCAAATTGATCATTGGCTCCACAGTATTACCCTGGCCTATACCTCATCGCGAATAAGACCAATCAAATTGAAAAAAATCTTCAAATCTAAAAATCACAGAATACACTGTGAGTTTGAATTCAATTTCAGCTGAAAACGTTCACTAAATTTCTCATTCATCTTGAAAATTCAAGAAAATTGGGTTTTCCATGTTAAACAATCATTGATTTTTCAATGAAAGCTTGAATTTTCAAACTCATCATGACAATTGAACATCACATACAATTCAATTTTCAATAGATTGAAAATTCAGAGAAGTTATTGACGGAATTTTCAAAATTTTCAAGGTTTATCAGTGCCGTATGGACATATGACAATCGAGAATTACTTGAATATTTAAGAAATTAACTGATTCGTCAACAAAGAATTTTACAGAAATTTCATGTAACTTTGCCATTAAAAATTTCAAACTTTTTCACTTGAAATTTCAAGAGTAATTTTGTAACAGTGTACATTCATTCATGGAACGACACGCGTACCCAATAAACTCCTCTCGCGCCGATAAATCTACATGTAAAACTCATATCAGCCATATTACGCGTTTTTTAAAGCCCCACGTCCAAACAAACCACAGACATAGGAAACAAACCGAAGAATCAGCTGATGTCAATCAATGGAGCGGCGATCACGCTCCACCTGGCGTTTCCCCTCACTTCGGTAGTGTTCGGCGCCAGTGGTGGGGGAGCCGTGACCTAACCTCAACCCATGAGAGTGGGGGGGAGATCCGAAAACCGCCGAAGGCTACCGAATCGTCGGTTCCAGTACAGAATGGTGTTTTGCACAGCCACTGGTGCGTCTCAGTTGATCACAACCTAAACTCGAACTGATCAGAGATTTGCCTTCGGGTCTGATTCGGCAAGCGGCTGGGGGGGGGGGGGGGGGGGNGGGGGGGGGGGGGGGGGGGGTGGATACATGTAACGGATTGGCGTATAGAATAGAATAGAATGGAAGCGATTTATTTATTTTTTTGCTTCCGCATGGAGCATTGTAATCGGTCGATTTTTCGATTCGCTAATTTTGCTTGGAAATGATGTAGAATGGTCTGAAAAACGTGAAAATACAAAATTTGAAGACCATGTATGCATGTGTGTCCGAAAGTGTGGGTCGATTTTTTCGAAAATTTTTATAAATCACGACAAATAAAGGACTAAAGTTGAAGCTAAAAATCTGAAATTTTGTCACATAATTGGTATTACTTTGGAGCATTTCTGGGCGCAGTTTCAGCTCAATCGGCCCAGTAGTTTCTGAGATACAGCAATTTCTCAAAAATCTTTCTTCCTCAATATCTCAAAAACTACATGACCGATTTGAATTTTTTTGACGCCAAAATCTTCTTTGTGATAATATCTATTGGATCAAATCATAATATTGCTATGTAACTATAGCAGCTATAGTAACTATAGCTATGTAACTAGAAGCAAATTCTCTCCCTTCCTCCGTGTAAAAGCGGTAGATGAGAAGAGAATTTGTTTCGTTTATTATTATATAGTCCTATGTTGAGTATGGTTTTATAAAAAGAGATTTATTATTTCCCTGAGATATGAAAGATGCCCTAAAGGAAAACCAAAATATAACATAATTTTTACAGATCACTCTTACATATTTACCCAACTTATCATCAAATGTTTATATCTTTTATTTATTATTATTTATTATTTATTTATTTATTTGCCTGTCACTTCGGGGTTTGATACTTTTTTTGGGATAATGATCTACATATTTTTCATAATTACATCATTCTTCAAAAACTTCTTTATATATCACATTTTTCATACAACTATTACCATCTTTTTCATTTTTTACTCTACCTCCTTCAGTCATCCCTATTTTCAATTTTTCACTTGCCCTCACTCTTGAATAAATGCCAGTAAGTTGATAACTTTTTCCGACTCCACCTAAATAATTGAGAAAATTCCTGAATAATTTTTTTTTTTCAATTTCCAAGATTTCATTTAATTTGCGAAATTACACAAAATGAAGGAAAAATAAGAGAAGAAAAAATAGTCGATCTTCTTATACATTCGTGGAAGTTAATTTTTTGTCTTTTATGGAGAGATACGTAAATTTTTCATTTTTATGATCTGGTCTCAATACATTTTTCAATGTAGGGGAGGGTAGGGTAAAATGGACACTTTAGACTTTTTTAAAATTATTCATAACTCAGAAACAAATGTATCAATAGAGCTCAGTTTAGGCTCATCATAAAGGGAAAGAATTGTTCTTTGTATTGAAAAAAAAATGATTAAATGTCATCAATATTTCAACCCGTCACTAATATTTTTAAAAAAGTCAAGTGTCCATTTTACCCCAACCTCCCCTACCCATAAAATTTTGGAATTGATCATTATTTTTTCTTTTCTTTAAATCAAGAAGTACAAATTTTTTGAAAAATGTCAACGGATATGAAAATTTTTCATCTCTTTGGTTTCAATGGAACGGAGAAAGGAAAATGCAAAGAAAGATGATCAGCAAGAATGCAAAACCTCACATTTTGACAGAATATATAAAAAAAATAGCAAAGAATAAAAATCGGAGATGAAAAATTTTATCAGATTAATATAAAGTAATTAATTTTTGGCACTAATTATTCGTTTTTAGACATATATAATCGATCTTCAATGCATGAGAAATCTCTTTCCAACGCCCGCGACTTTTAAAACTCCTAGTAGTCTCCCCCGAGGAGAAAAAGAGAAGAGAACGTCAACATGTTAGAATGCATCCAAGAGATCGATATTCGCAGTAAAATAATCAGGGAATTCTCGCGGAATCCGCAACTCTCGAGTAGAGATGCAAATGCGTCACATGACCCGTCATATGACGGTCATGTGACCGTCAGTGACGGTTACATGACGAGGCGTTTATGACGGCTGTCACAATTCCCCCTCCCCCTTCTGTGACCGTCACAACTTGTCAAGAAAAAATGACAGTCATTTTTCATCTATATAGATGAAACTTTATTTTTTTCTCGGTCAATTCTCAGTTGAATTCCTTTTCTATTGGCCTAATCCGCATTTTGAAATGGAAATCACGTTTTTTTTTCCATCCATATAGATGAAACTATTTTGTTTTATTCATGTCCGTCACAAATTGGAAATTAGTTATGACTGTCATTATGCAACTATATAGATGGTTTGACAACAATTTGGTTGCAAATGATTTGTGACAATCATTTGTAGTTGGAAAATTTGTGCGTCACATGACCGTTATTTTTTGGTCGTATGACCGTCACAACTTGTCAAGAAAAAATGACAGTCATTTTTCATCTATATAGATGAAACTTTATTTTTTTCTCGGTCAATTNGACCGTTATTTTTTGGTCGTATGACGCGATCTAAAAAATGACGGTCATTTTGCCTCTCTACTCTCGACGAAAAATTGACAAGTTACATGTTGGCACGAGCACAGAAATAAGGCTGTAGATTGTTTCCACCACAAGTAGCCCCGAAGATTGCCGAAGGGAACTGTTCCTCCGGCACAAGTAGACATCTTCACATCAGTGTTTGTGTTTGACTCCCCGAGCAGTGGGGGAACGTGAAAAAAACATTAAACAGCTGAAACACCCGTTACTGCCTGCAATTTGAGTCGTCACTGATTTCGATTTCCTTTCGTATCATTGCACATATATATTATGTTTCGAATTATTGAATCGAGCGAGACACGTGTCGATGATGTGAGAAATTCGGGGCTGAGTTTTGTTTAGACGGAAATAATGGAGGAATGAGGTTAATTGTGGACGGATGAGAGGAATTAAATATTCAAGAATTCAACGGGCTATCGGACAAAGGATAACGATTGGTAATTGATGTGTTAGGGGTGTAAACATGTCTTGGCTCTTTTGTTTTCCGTGGCCAGAGGGAATCAAGAAGAGGGCATGCAGGTATCTGTTGCAGAGGTATCTTGGACAATTTTTGGAGGAAAAGCTGACGCTTGATCAGTTGACTGTTGATTTGTATAATGGCACGGGGAGAGTTACCAATGTCAGCCTTGATGTTCAGGTAATTCGTGATTTTTTTAGTTCTGACAATTGCATTATTCCAAACAGTCCTGTTAATTCATCGTTATTTGAGGGAAAGGATAATTAACCTAATTTAATGTTTAGAGTGTTAGGTTTTGGAAGAATTAATTTATTCTGGTGGAATAATATATAATTATTGTGAAGGAGGACTTTGGATTTATGATGACGATGACAACTGGCTAATTCATGTTTTTTTAGGCGCAAAAAAAACTTTTTATTTGGGGTGGAAGAAGGCAGTAGTTGAAATATCGGGTTTTTCTGGTTTAATTATTTTTTTTATTCACGGTTGTGGGGTTTATTGGGGAGGGGAACGTGGATTTATTGATGAAGATGATAATTTATTTGTTGGTGAATTTTTTAGAAGCAAAACCATTTTTTATTCGAGTTTAGAGAACTTAAAAGTTAACATATTTCATTTGTTCTTACTAATGATTATTTTGGTGATGAGGATGACAACTTGCTTGTTTACAATTTTTTTTAGACCGAAAAACAATTGTTTAATTGAGATAAAATAATTTAACAGTTGAAAGATGGAATTTTTTGCATTTTTAATTTTTCAAAGTGATGTTCATGATGCTTATTATGTATAAAATTATCAGTTTATTGGTGAAAATGGCATTTTAGTGATTTGTGATTTTTTTTAGACGCAGAAACTATTTTTATTTGCATTAAAAGAAGGTGACAGATGAAATACTACAGTTCTTATCGTTACTTAATTTTTTCCTGCATGTTTGTGGCGTTAGTTATGGGTGGAAACATGGGTTTATTGATGAAAATGATGATTTGTTCATTCGCGAATTTTTTTTAGATGCAAAAACAATTTTTATTCGAGTTTAGACAATTTAAAAGTCAACATATTGCATTTTTTCTTGCTAATGATTATTTTGGGGGATCAGGATGACAACTTGTTTGTTTACCATTTTTTTTAGAAGAAAAAGTCATTTTTTAATTGAGATAAAATAAGTTAACAGTTGAAATATGGAATTTTTTGCGTTTTTAATTTTTGAAAGTGATTGTCATGATGCTTATCATGTTTTAAATTATCAATTTATTGGTGAAAACGACATTTTATTGATTTGGGAATTTTTTTTGACGCAGAAACAATTTTTTCTTCAAACTAAAACGGGTTAACAGTTGAACTATTGCAGTTTTTATTGTCAACTAATTTTTTTCTGCATATTTGATTAAAATTTAATTTTCATTTCAATTACAACATGGATTTATTGATGCCAATGGTGATTTATTCATCTGTGGTTTTTTTGAGAGGCTAAAATAATTCTTTTATGAGCTGAAACAATTTAACAGTCGAAATATCACATTTTTTTGCATTAATCATTTTTTAAAATTAATGTTAATGGTGCTTATGATGCATAAAAACATCGGTTTATTTATGACAATGACATTTAATTGATTTACGATTTTTTTTTTTTTATAAAAGAGGAATTTTTCGTTCGAACTAAAATCACTGAAAGCACTAAAAAGATTGACGTTTGAATTTTTCTTCATGAATCAATTTTCATCATTCAAATCCAACATCAATTTATTAATGACAATGACATTTCATTTATTTACGATTTTTTTAAAATACAACAGTACTTTTTTCTTTGAGCTAGAACCATTAGAAAAATTGCGATTTCTAATTTTTCTTCATGAGTTCATTTTTTTTTTCATTAATATTCAACATCAATTTATCGATGCCTTTAATGATTTATGCACTCGGTATTTTGTCTTTCTCCGAAAACCATTTTTTCATTCAGGATAATTAATTTCTAATACAATTTTTTTAGCTACAAAAGTACATTTTTATTTGAGCTAAAACCCTTTAAAAAATTGAAATTTGAATTTTTCTTCGTAAATAAATTTTTTCTCATTAATATTCAACATCAATTTATCGCTGACTTCAATGATTCACCCTTTGTAATTTTTTCTTTCCCCGAAAACAATTTTCGATTCACCATAATTAATTTCCAATCCAATTTTTTTAGCTACAAAAGTAAATTTTTATTTGAGCTAAAACCATTAGAAAAATTGAAATTGGAATTTTTCGTCATAAACCATTTTTTTCATTAACAATCAACATCAATTTATCGATGACTTCAATGATTTATCCCTAATTTTTTCTTTCCCCGAAACCAATTTTTCATTCACAATAATTAATTTCCAATCCAATTTTTTTAGTTACAAAAGCTAATTTTTATTTGAGCTAAAACCATTAGAAAAATCGAAATGGGAATTTTTCTTCATAAACCATTTTTTTCATTAACAATCAACATCAATTTATCGATGACTTCAATGATTTATCCCTAATTTTTTCTTTCCCCGAAACCAATTTTTCATTCACAATAATTAATTTCCAATCCAATTTTTTTAGTTACAAAAGCTAATTTTTATTTGAGCTAAAACCATTAGAAAAATCGAAATGGGAATTTTTCTTCATAAACCTTTTTTTTCATTAACAATCAACATCAATTTACCGATGAATTCAATGATTTATCCCTAATTTTTTCTTTCCCCGAAACCAATTTTTCATTCACAATAATTAACTTCCAATGCCTGAAAAGCTATTGTCGCTCCTTCAATAACGTGGTCACTCCACATGATCACATCGCATATGGGTTTCCCTCGAACAACAATGATTATTGCATATTAGATTTTTTAACTCGCCCATTACGAAATTACCATACAAAAGAACGGCTGAACTTTCACTTCTATTGTCCAGGCACTCAACGAAATGGGCGAGCAGCACCACTTGCCCCTGGAGTTCGTCGACGGTTTCATATCGGAGATGTCCCTCAGCATACCCTGGTCAGCGCTGCTCAGCGAGGCCAGCTACGTCGAGGTCAAGGGTCTCAAGCTCACTGTTCAGCCTCGCCAGAGGACAGAGACTGGCACCTCCATGTTCGAGTCGATGTGGAGTTCCATGACATCCAGCATGCAGCTGGCGCAGGAGTGCCTACAGCAGGATGCCAGCAATGCGGGAAATGCACAGCCACTTGAAGGAGTGGAGTTGTTCGCGCAGACTATAGACTCAAGTAAATTTCTCCACAAATTCAAGAATTATTTTGAGTCAATTAATACCGTCAATGTCCCAGGAACTGCCACCGTCCGGATTGCTGTCACCCTCAGCGATTTTTCTACTTCGTATTTCTTTTTTATTTTTAAATTCCATTTTCATTTCAATTCAGTAACGAAGTGGTAAAACCAGGGATTGCCAAATTTGTAATATTTTATTACGGTTAAATATTGCAGACATCAATTGGATAACATCACTCTTAAAATTTTTTGAGTACCTAAATATCATCAATCCAAATATTCAAATTTGCAACTATTTTATCAACCAATAATCGAGGTAGGAAGATTTATGATTACTTGTGTACACGGAAATCCTCTTTCAAGAAATTTGAATTACTCATTTAGTAGGAAATTTACAGTTTCATATTAACAAATTTTAAATATATCATTATTCGTAAAAAATCAGATTATTAGTATTATATTAATTGAAAAATTGAATCAACACATTTTAAACCTTCAGTAATGTAAGGATCAAATCATTGTAATATTACAGAAATTTAATATTGATGGGGATCCCAGGGTAAAACGTACAAGTCAATTTTGACTATCGACCAGTTTTCAATGAACATCTCGGAATCTAAGGGAGATAGCAAAATTTTGGTTATCACCTTTTTTGTAGAGCCGATTGAGAGCTACAACAAATGTAATTATGAAAATTTCGCTATCTCCCTTAGATTTGGAAATATTTCTCAAAAACTCAACTGGGAGATGAGGCGACTTAAATCGTTTTACCACTTCGCTACTGAATTACGAATATTAAGGGATGGCCATTGATATTACATTTCTTCAATATTGCAAGGATTTCCGGCTTACATTGATGAAGGTTTAAATATACTCATCAAAATTTAAAAAATAGTATTGTATTTATAATTTTAAATTTTCGATTGATGATGAATTAAATATTTGAGAACATGGAACTGTAAATTTACCATTAAATAAATGATTCTAATTTCTTAAAAGGGGATTTTGGATTAAATAATCGTCAATATTTCTGCCTAAATTATTGATTAATAAAATAGCTCAGAATTTGAATATTTAAATTGATGATTACTTGAATAATTAAAAAATTTGATAGAGATGTGAACTAATTGACGGCATCAATATTGAATGGTAATTATGATTTATGGATGATATGGCTATCCCTCTAAACATTCACAATTAAATTTGGCGATTTGTTTTGAATCTTTTCTTTATTTAAGGGGATATTACAATGAGTTTTAAAAATCGCGGGCTATTGGGGTGAGATTTTTTATAAATTGAAGATCGATTATAGGTGTCTAAAAACGAGATATAGGCCGCGAATTTAGAAACTCATAGCAGTCTCTCTCTTAGAAAAAAGTGTAGGCATGAAATATCATGAAATTTTCATTTTTCAATAACACTTTTTTTATTTAACGGAAAAAATAGAGTGATTTCAAATTCCATGCGATTGATTTTGCAAAACGTCAGTTCTAAATAATAAAAAAGAGTATTAATTATCTACTTGGCACATTGATTTGATGGATTATAAAAAAAATATAATTATTTCAACTCTATTGAAGACACAAAAAGGTTCTAATGGCATTAACTGGGACATTGATGGTATTTTCCAATTTTATTTCAATATTTCATGAATTAATGGAAATTATTAATTTTAAATTGAATTTATCTGATTTTAAGGTTCCAAATACTATTTTATTTGGCATCGCTGGTGACTTTAAAATGCCAAATGGTTCGAATAGTAATTGAAATTGAATTCTGCTCAGCTCTGGTGGTAGAATAGGATGAGATGATATAAAAATATACGAAATTTAAGTAAAAGTTCATTATCGATATTAAATAATGAAATAGCATTTTTTTTTGCAAAGTTCTATTAACTATTTCAAATAGAATTCTTCTGAGTCAAAATTAACAAATCGTATTTTATTTGCTATGTTTGACGATTTCAAAATACCAATTGAATATTCCAAACCTGGCGGAGATGATGAAATTATTGTAGAAATTTCAGATCAAATTTGTGAGAAATATCTGAGAATCTGAGGAGGATGGCAAAATTAAATTTTAGTGGGTAAATAGAATTTATTCATTCGTATTTCTAAAACTTACACGAGATTTCAATGAAATTTGTTGATCTTTTTCAAATAAAAAATGGCATTATTTCCAAAACTTTTCATTAACTACTTCAAATAGAATTCTTCTAAGTCAAAATTAAAAAATTGAATTTTATTTGTTGGTTTTCGTGACTCAACAAAATTCGTGATAACAAAATTATGATAAAATTAAATTTTTCTCTATCAATTAGATTTATAGATATTAACAAAAACTGATGTTCAACAATTGATCATCGAGTTCAATTTAAAAAAAGGTTCTTCAAAAATACCTAAGGTTCTAAGTGAAAGGGCAAAAATTATATTTAGGATTTTCATAATTTGTTTATTCGTGTTTCGTAAACTTGCACGAAATTTGAATCAAATTTCCTTATGTATGTCATAACCGAATGTCAATTTACGGATTCAAAATTTGAAAATCGTATAACATTTCTGTCGTCCATTGGTAAATTACGATGTGATTTTTTTCGAAAAAAATTTCTTTGCTAAAACTCGTCCGCAAATTGATGGGAAAAATTCATTTATTCTACTTTACCAATTTACCACAGATTTCTCATTTTTTCACGACTCCAAAATACCAATTACTCATAAATATTTCAAACCCAGCAGACGGCGAAATTATTCTAAAAATCTCATGAAAAAAATGTCACAGATAATGCTAAAAAACTGATCAATAATCAATAACGATCAATAATTGATTCGTCAATTTTCCATAAAATACCCACGAGTCCCTAGAAGATTGCGAAATTCTCATCCATATTTTCTCAAGCCCTCGTTTCGCTCTCCAGTCTTCTCAAAAAATGTTTCCATCTCCCCTAGATTCCAAAAAACCTATCAAAAAAAAATCTGAGAAGTCGAATTGATTCATCCCATTTAATAAGGCCACGCCCAGAGCTCAGCACCCCAAAAATCAGATGAAAAACAATTAAAAAATACTCACTTGAACCGACAATTCAATCCAACTAAGCAGTATCAATGATTTCCAGTACTCTCCCGAGTAAAAGTGAGATTTCTGGATACTGTGATACGCCTGGAGCACGTGCCCCTGGACTCCACAACGGGAGTAGCCATAGAAATGTGTATAAGAAACCTAGAATATTCCGACGAGGCAGGTTCAGACCCCTCGACCCTGACCCTTGAGCCGAACCAGCCCTCAAAAGGCTACATAGTCTCCGCGTTCACGACAAAGCGCTTCTACCTGGAAGGCGTGACCTTCCACATAGACGAGTTCCCCTCGCGCGCGCGTACCTTCTCACGAAGCGTAATGACGATGTCCCGAGGCTCAACGCCGGACTCTAAAGCCTCCGAAGGCAATTTTTCATCCGCACAAATTTCGCCGTCAATGCACACGCCCCCCGAGAAGAGCCTAATAACGACTTTATCCCAATCGAACCCGATAATCTGTGCAAAGCTGACGGGAAGACAGGAAATCCGACTGAAATTGAAGCAGGGAGAGGGTGTGTCGGGCCCTAAAGTGGAGCTTGAGGTGACCTTGGGGTCCTTCATCTCGTTCCTAAGCCCCCGACAGGTCCACGTCCTCCTAGAGCTCTGCCACGGTCTCGCGTCCCCCGACCTAGAGGACATGTCTAACGTAGCCCCGCGTCCTTGCGTGGAGAAGCCAATGGCAGGTGCTGACTTCTCCCGAGTGGAGCGTGAACTCATGCACCAGCTGAATCCGCCCCCGGGTGTGAGGTCCACAGACCTCAGGAACACCCAGGGCTGGTCCACAGCGTGCCTAGACGACTCAGACAACGAGGAGGAGTTTCTTCCCATGAAACTCCCAGGCATGACTGACTCCATCTCCACTAACGCGGTCAGCATGGACGACAGCATGACGAGCACCGCCAGCTCCAAGAGCTCAGTGAACGTCTCGAGACCCCACAAGCATAGGCCAAGCGTCGAAACAGACCCCAGTGCAGAGACCTCTCAGTTTCACATTCGAATTTCGTCGATAGCTGTCGTAGCCCTCCACGAGGACATCCTGACCCTGGGGATTGAGTCCCGGGGGCTGACGTGCGCCAGTATCGAGCAGATGCGGAAGACCTCTGAGGACTTCTTCGATACCCTGGGGATCTTCGCTGCTGACTATGGTAACAAGAACTTCGAGAAGGCTTCGAAGATGTTTCTGGACGCGTGTAAGCTGAGCCACATAAGGATGCTGGCAGCTCCGCTGGTGATCGAGGGCTCCGAGAGGACGACGGCCCAGGCCTCCGCCATCACCGGATCCCTCAGCCTAGCGAGCTTGGAGCTGATAGAATGCCTGATAGACTCCAACAAATCCCAAGAAGCTCAGAACATCGAGTTCATAGAACTCTTGGCCTTCACGAGAGCTGCCGAGCCCCAGGGGTTCTCCAACACCACAGACTTCAGGATGAGGTTCAAGTACTCGGAGAAGGCTGTGCGTCACGCCCAGATGACAAAATTCACGCATCCCAGAACGGAAATCGAGATTATGTTGGAGCCCTGTCGATCTGAGTTAGACGTGACGATCGTCGACAGGATATCAGCTATGCTGAATCCCCAGCAGATCTGCGTGAGCAATCCCCCGACGAGTGGACGGGACATGTGGAACCAGCAGACGATGTTCTACCAGGCGGTTGAGAGCCCCATAACCTCGGACTCGCGAGTGGACGTGAGAGTGTCATCCCTGAAGATGACGATCAAACTGAGATTCCCAGTGCCCGATCTACGACCCCTCCACGACATGAGCAGGGCCCCCTGGTGGACCAGATCCGTTCGTCCGGACTTCGTAACCATGACCCTGAGCAACGCACAGGTTCACACCTCGATGGACAGCAAGAGTCACCACCTGACGAGGCACGAGATCCAGTGCAAAGACCTGTTGATCACGTACACGGAAGTCGACTCAGACATACCGATTGAGATTGGGAGGAGTCAGGTCGACGAGAAGACAGACGGATCTCTGCAGCAGAGCGAGAGCCAGTTCGGCTGGCCCAGAATAGTGATAACGATCTTCCCGCAGCACCTGGGGGGGCCCTTGGAGGACAGCTCGGAGGAGGAGCCTAACTCAAGCCTCGACGAGGCGCTCAATCCCCCCAGGCATCAGCCCTCGCCCTTCAGCTCGAAACGAGTCATCCACGAGTCTGACACCCCCCACACTGAGTCCCACTCCTACAACAAAGAGGAGCAAGAACGACGGGAAGGGGAGGAGCTCGTCATCCCTGGGAACCGTCAGGAGATGCTGGAGTTCATAGAGGAGGGAACCCACGGCTCCAAACTCCAGATCGAGATCACGCTGCCCTGTCTGTCGGTTCAAATCCCGTCTAAGCACCTCTACGAGCAGCTCTACAACAGGATCAACACGGACCTCTTCCTCTGGGAGCCCTCGGCTCCTCGGCCCGCCTGCCAGCCCGAACCCACCATCGGCCTCGACCTGGCCTCCACCCTGTTCCAGGAGTCCATTTACCCCAAGTTCAGCATGTGCAAGAGCGGAATCCACTGCGACTCGGACGCGGACTCCGACGAGGACGGGGTCTTCCACTCCGCCGAGAAGAGCTTTCAGAGTGTCAGCAAACCACCCAAGAGCGGCCAGACGAAGATGTCCCTGACGCTGAGCATCCCCCAGGGCTTGCTGAGCATGTACACCCCAGTGCGCGACGGTTCGTCCAACGTGATACCGGGTCAGCAGGGGGAGCTGATCCTCCGGGTGGACGACGCAACCGTTTTCTGCGTGAACTCGTACAAGGGAGACTCCAACCTCGGCTACGTGTGCACCCTGGTGAAGACAGTGGGCCTGAACCACTGCAGCTTGATAACGATCCCCTCCCAGACGCCTCCCCTACGGTCCATCAACAGCGTGACCCCTCGGCACTGCCAGCCCTCCATCTACCGGAGCAGGGATGGCCAAGAGGTGACGTCGGAGAAGGACATGCTGACGGTTGCTGTGAGAATCCAGGCTGCGCACCAGACCCACCACATAAAGACCTTCAGGGTGGCCGTCGGCATCAGGAATGCGACCTTGCGACACCGAATATGCGCCTCCCAGACGTCCTGGTTCTCACAGTTCATGGACTGCCTGGACGTCGTCGATCATCCCGTCGCGGGGTACTCGCCGCCAGGTGTTCTGATCGAGCTGCACCTCCATCTGTGGAACTGCGCGGTTGATTACAGACCGGTTTACCTGCCCCTGAGGGCCATGCTGACCCTCGGCAGCTTCAGCGTGTCCTCCAACATCGCAGCGAAGACCAAAACGTCAACCCTGAGGTTCATCGCTGAAGACATTGCGCTGTTCATCTCGGAGAAGCTTGGTAACAACGTCGACCTGAGGCGGGACTACGTCTGCGTGATGGACCTGGGTCTCTTCGAGCTGTCGCTGAGGCTGAACGAGAAGATGTGCGGAGGGGGGCCGAGGGTGGACCTGCGAGCCAGCAACAACGTCCTCCACATCAGGACCTGCGCGGACTCTGGGAGAGCTTTAACCCAACTGCTGACTTACTTCGCGAATGACGGGGATCTGGCACCGAATACGGTGTCAACGGACAGCATCGCGGTTCCCTCCTCGGGGGATGAGGAGAGCCTCCTGGGGGACGAGAGCATCAACACGCTGAGCAAGAGTCAGGAGGAGCGCGTCAACAGCCTGATGGAGGAGGCCATGGAGGACACGGTGAGGGGGAACTCCTCGGGGACCCTCGAGAGGAAGGAGCCGAGGGCCGAGCCCAGAGTGGAGGTCTTCTTCTTCCCGGATGAGTCACACCCAGTGCCGATATCCTCGTCGGAGATGAGTGGCAACGCCGACAGCTGTGCGATCGGCCTCAAGCACTCGGACTCGGACCCCGACGAGGACTTCTGCATTCTGGGGGAGGAGGCTGGTGCCGGCATCATGCCCAGGCACGGGGTGCCCGAGGTGCGGTGGCTGTCGCAGGACTACATCAAAGTCGTTGACAATCACTTCTCGATCCCCCTGGGGAAGACGGATCTGCTGAAGGCCCCCAAGAACTTTCCCCCTGCGATCCTGAGGTACACCCTCTGCGAGATGACGCTCGTCTGGCATATGTACGGGGGCAAGGACTTCGGGAAGCCCCAGCCCCTGGTGAAGAAACACGTGACGATTGACGAGTCCCTTCACAAGGAGGGATTCGCCGTTGGCCGGAGCAAGTCAGCTGTTGTGGGCTTCAGCAAGATGTCGCCTAATGAGATCAGGTTTGGCTCCGCTCCGAATTCCCCGAGGAAGGTCAAGCCTCACGCCGGCGACTGGTGGACCCTGGGCGGCCCTGGACGACAGCACGATGTGCTCATGGAGTTGCAGCTCAACAAGGTTCGGTTTCAGCATGAGTCGTACCCGGAGAACACCGCTGAGGCCTCCAGGCAGGTCCTCCTCGTCAGTGAGATCGAAATCCGGGACAGGCTGGCTTCCTCTCACATCAACAAGTTCTTGTATCAGTACAGTAGCGAAGCCAGGCCTAGGCAGACGCACGCCAATATGGTCGCGTTGAAGGCGGTGCACGTCAGGCCTGATCCCAAGTTGAATGCGCAGGAGTGCTGTCTCAAGTTGAGTGTTCTACCACTTCGGTTGAATATTGATCAGGACAGCTTGCTGTTTCTCATCAATTTTTTTACGGAACTCGCGGGCACTCCGAAGACTGCTCAGGAAAGCTCAAATGGCCCGACGAATACTACGTCGTCTCCGGGGTCGAAGCAGGGGACGCCGACACATCATCCACCGGTGATGAGTGTTAATGATGGCGAGGGGGAGGGGGTGGTCGAGCCTGAGGCTGTGAGTGAGGGCGATGGTCTGGATCATAATCTCATGATTCTGCTGGAGGACGAGTTGACGATTAAGGAGAGCAAGCAGAAGGTGAAGGCGACGAGTGCCGGACCGGAGGACTCGCAGCCCATTTATTTTAGGAGTGTTATCTTCGCGCCCGAGGTGCTGGTCAGGCTCGATTATCATGGGAAGAGGGTCGACTTGACGCATGGACCCATGGCCGGGTTGCTCATGGGGCTGGGGCAGCTCAACTGCTCAGAGCTCAGGCTGAAGAGGCTGACTTACAGGTAAGAGGGCAGAGAAGGAGCTTATGCTCCTAGTTTAGTTTTCTTTCTTTTCTCTGTTTCGGTATATAAATTCCCTTCTTTAACCCATTGCCACGGACGAGGCGTCCCACTCCTATGCCTTGCGTGAGACTGTGGTAGTTTGGATGGCGGTAGCAGAGCCGTACGCTCGGCGCCTCTCGAATATTAATAGGAGCATAAGACGAATTTTTTTTTTAATCGTTATTTTACAACTCTGGGTTTCATGTGAATTGAAAACTAGAGTTGAAAACCAGAGCTTATAACAACGATCTCAGACAAGATATGAATGTTTTTTTTTACTCAAATGAAAGAGCGGCTCGAGAAATGGCGTGCTGATGCCTCTAAAGATGGTTTTGAACCAGGGGAGACTCCTAGACCCCATTGTCCTCCTACACAATGTTGTCACAACTCTGCTTTTCAAATGAAAACAGACATCATCTTTAGAGACATTTGTCATGTTTAGAGACATCAGCACGCCATTTCTCGAGCCGCTCTTTCATTTGAGCCCAAAAAACATTCATATCTTGTCTGACATCTCTGCTACAAACTCTGGTCTTCAACTCTGGTTTCAATTGAAATCAGAGTTGAAAACCAGAGTTTATAACAGCAATGTTAGACAAAATATGAATGTTTTTTTTTGCTCAAATGAAAGAGCGGCTCGAGAAATGGCGTGCTGATGCCTCTAAAGATGGTTTTGAACCAGGGGAGACTCCTAGACCCCAATGTTCTATACATTCTCAGGCCTAATAATGCAGGACTGTCGATAGTATTCGGAATGATGTTTATCAGAAAAATAATTAATGTCGCCCTTTGTTGGAAATGTTGAAATTACTCAATGTTGCAGGCATGGGCTCCTGGGGTTTGAGAAGTTGATGGCGTACTTGCTGTCCGAGTGGCTGCAGGACATCAAGAAGAACCAGTTACCCAGTTTGTTGGGGGGAGTGGGGCCCATGCACTCGCTGGTGCAGCTCTTCCAGGGGATCAGGGATCTGTTCTGGATGCCCATCGAGCAGTACCAGAAGGACGGGAGGATTGTGAGGGGTCTCCAGAGGGGGGCCAACAGCTTTACCACATCGACGGCCATGGCCGCCCTGGAGCTGACGTCCAGGTTGGTTCATGCTATTCAAAGCACTGCCGAAACTGCTTATGACATGGTCAGCCCTGGACCCAGTGTCAGGAGGAAGAGTAAAGGACAGAAGGGGAGGAGAAAGCGGTATAGTCAGCCGCTGGATATCAGGGAGGGCATGGCCAATGCTTATATGCTAGTCAAAGAGGTAATCGATAGATTTATCATGAAATTTCATTGTTAATTACTATACGATAAATATTTTTGAATGCAGAAATCGATAAAAGAAATAAGAGAAGAATTTGTACATCAAGAAGAATTTTGCTTTGTTCATTTTGGGTTTATCTCATGAATGCTTGGATTTAGAACAAAATGTTGTAAGATATTTTTTGTCGGAAATTTGATTCTACACAAAAAAGTTCTTGTGATAATTTCTCATAAAATCACTCGATACTGAAGTATAAGACCAAAATGAGCTGAAAAAAACTGAAAAATTTCGTAGAATTTTTTATTTTTATTTTGGATTTATCTCATGAATTCTTGGATTTAGAGCAAAATGTTATAAAACATTTTTTGTAGGAAATTTTATTATACACAAAAAGTTTTTATGACAATTTTTTCTAAAATCACTTTGTACTGAGATAGAAGCTCAAAATTAGATGAAAAAAACTGAAAAATTTCGTAGAATTTTTTATTTTTATTTTCGACTTATTTCAAGAATGCTTGGATATAGAGCAAAATGGTATAAGATATTTTTCTAGGAAATTTAAGTCACTACAAAAAAGTTCTTATGACAATTTCTATTAAAACCCGTCTATACTGAGGTATAAGGCAAAAATTAAATGAAGGAACCAGAAAAGTTCGGTTTGAATAATTTTCCCAAGATCTAAAAAACAGCAAAAATAATTTCAATGGAGAAAATTATTTTTTCCCAGGGATTGGGTGAAACAGCCAATCAATTGGTGCGTGTAGCAAGTGAGGAGCACGAGCAGAAGGGTGTCTCAGGAGCTGTTGGTGGTGTACTGAGGCAAATTCCCCCGACAGTAGTTAAACCGATAATCCTAGCCACTGAGGCGACAAGCAATGTCCTCGGTGGTATGAAATCACAGTTGGTGCCAGACGCCAGACGCGAGGCAGCTCAGAAGTGGCGACAGGATCCTCGGGACGTCAATTAGGGCGAGCAACCGATTTTTTTTTATTTAGATACAACAAAACTATTTGATTGATGATAAAATACGATCTTAGTGCACTTGTGGGGGAAATTTAATTGAAAAACCCAGAGATTTCGCTGAGAAAATAAATTGTATTCGTTTTTCGACAGATATTTGATGTGGAAATATCAGTGTATTTTCAGTTTTACGTTTATGATTCCAACTCTTGAGGTTTTTTGAAGTTTCAACTATAATTTTTTCGAGGATCATTAAAAACGAGAACATGAAGGAAGTTTATACACAATATTTGAACAAAAGAAAATTTTCTTGAGATGCTAAATGCTTCTTCTCCCCCATTTTTCATAATTGAGGTGAAAACATTAATAATCAGGGTAAACAGGCCAAAATCTTGAACTTCATTAAAGGATTTAAAATCGATGAAGCAGCTAAATGAATTGAATTTCTTGCTGTAATGTTGATATTTCGAAAAACAACTTCATCGCATGATTATACATAAGTGTTATTATTTACAATGATAATAATACGTGCAGGTTTCATTTTATTATTTATAGAATATTCAATAAGATGTGAAATCGTCCAGGTATGGGGCCTGTTCACCCCATATTTAAAGAACAATTTCAAGAATTTATACGTTTTTGAATTTTCTAACGTTGAATTTTCAAATAAAAAAAGCACCTGCCTGAAATGGACTCGTTATGATATATAAATTAATAATTGCAACTCAACAATCAGTTGGTTTTGGCCTTCAGAATGTTAAGGGGAGACTACTATGAGTTTTAAAAGTCGTGGGTTATTGGAGTGAGACTTTTCATACGTTGAAGATTGATTTTATAGATGTAAAAATGAATAATTAGTGCAAAAAAATTTTTTTTTATTGTTCCTTTGCCTGAAAACGCTTAAAATGCTAAAAACAGTCCAGGGCCTCCAATTTTTGAGTTACAAAAGAATTTTCTTTTCAAAATTTTCGGAAAAATGTGTGGAACAAGAATTACGAGCCGGATTTTTGGAATTCGACTCCAACACAGCTGATTTCGTTTTTTTTTTTTTTTTTTTTTTTTTTTTTTTTTTTTTTTTTTTATTTTTTTTTTTTTTTTTTTTTTTTTTTTTTTTTTTTTTTTTTTTNAAAAAAATTCACCATTTGTGTAAAAAAATACATCTTCAACGTATGAAACGTCTCACTCCAATAATCCATGACTTTTAAAATTCATAGTAGTCTCTCCTTAAGGAATTCCTGAGGAGCAATCATGAAAATTTTTTATAATTTTTTCTTCAAAAAACGAAAAACTTTTTCGGGGATGAATCTTTCTTTAATTTAATCTACCAAATATCTGTCAAAAATCGTCAAAACCGAATTGGATTCACCTAAAATTCTTGAGCGAATGTCGTAGTTTTTCCATTGAATTTATTTCACAGAACTGATCATTTGAATCGCGCAAAGGCTGGGATGTTCTCACACACGATTTAACTCAACGTCAATTTTCTTTTTTAACCGAGCTGGGAGATGATAGATTTAACGGGAATATCCAACGAGTTCGATTTTCGCGTAAATGCCATAACATAGTTATTTCATTAATTATTGAGTTAAGTATCAGTGGTGCGTGTGAAGGACTCATTCACCACGAACTTCGGTAGAAGTTGCAGTGATCAGATATTTGGAATACGTTGAATGATGAAGATATACTTTATATTTATAGAATTTAAATGACAATGAATGATACAACTGTAATGTATATATTATCCTCACTCGTAAGTATTTTTGTTCTAACGATGTTTTTTATCAGTGATATATATGTAATGAGACAAATTTTTTATTAATAAACATTGTATGCGGAATTCAATAGTCATAAATACTGAGGGGAGTCGGGGGTGGGTTGGGGATGTGCCAAGGGCTGTAATTTTTTTCGTGATATGAGTAATTTATTTTTATTTCATTTTTATTTATTTATTCACCTATCTCACAGGGGAGGACTCCCTATGAGAGATTAGGTTCGATACATTCAGTGGAAATACAGAAAAAAAATAATATAGGGGAGTGGCGCAAAATGAAACAGCCAAAAAAAATTTTTTCATCCATTTTTTTTGTGATTTTTTTTATTCTAGGGAGTACTGATGAGAATAATAATTTTCTATTCAGTAAAATGGAAAATTACTGAGAAGTTTTGATGGGCGAAGATTTAGTCAATGGATTATTCGATTGAAATTCAGCATCATATTTTCCTTTTTCCCCCTCTGGGTCTCCCCCTGGGTCTTGTTCTGGACTTTGTATTTTGCTGTTTCATTTTGTTTTTTTTATCAATCAGTCGACAATGTGGAAAAAATACTGAAATTATCGATGGCCCATTTAAAGTAGCTCTACCCTTACGGTAAATTCAAAGATTATTGAAAACTGCAAAAAAAATGCAGAAAACACGATTAGATTCGGAATTCTAATATTTTTCTCAGTTTAATTATCGTTCAGGTTTTTCAAAGAAGAAATGTTTAAAAATCACGATTTAACCCAGTCTCTTGTGTGAAAATCAATATTTCCATTGTAATCAGAGATTAAAATCTGAATGTTTTTTTTGTCATTCCGGCCGTGAGGCTGCGCTCCGCTCCGCGTCCGTGAATCTCTGCCTACGGCCGTCATAACAAAAAATACTGTTCGTCATACGGTAAAAAAAAACTTTTCTAGCTCATATGATTGCAGCCCTCGCCTTCGGCTCGGGCTACAAACTCATATTCGCCAGAAAAGTTTTTTTCGGCCTAGTGACGAAATATACTATTCATTAGGTGTGAAAAAATCAATAATTTTTTCGACACCTCATAAAAAATTCATTTTTGTTGTCCTGAACCTGGGGTTTCTGAAATTTTACAAGAGGTGCCTAAATTGATTAAACAATATGTGAAAGAAGTTTCATAAAATTGGCTGCATTTTTCGAGTGTCCTACTTCCTCGCTTGAACATCGCTATCCGGCATATTTCAGATTTTTTTGAGACTTTTTTTCAATTTATTGTAATATAATTGATCAATTAATTTGTAAATAGTTGAAAAAGAGCAATTTGGAGATCTTTATCTTGAATTTACACCTAATTCGACCTGAATTATTCATTGAAACAAGAGAAAAAATAGAATGAAATATTGGTGCTTCGAAGGTATCGACAAACATAACAAGCAAAACCATATTTGAAAAATTTGAGCCAAAGAAATTCCATTTGAAGTCATTTCCGTTCCCAACTCATGAATTTCTCCAAAGTAAATATCATTTCGACAGTTCGATCGAGAAAAAAAACCTTTAAAAAATTACGATTTCCTTCGATTTCCACAAAAAACTCCCTCCAAATATTTTCGAATCTCCCATTGGACAGTGGCGTCCTCTCCCCCTCCCCTTTCCGCCAATTTCGCCCGCAAGATGGCGTCACAAGTCCCATCCAGTCCATATCGAAACTATGGCAACGTTTATTTACCGTCGAGCTGTTACCCCGCGCGATATACAGTCGAAACCTCCCAACTCCTTCATAACCCTCAGCAAGTCACTCTCGCCCTCACAAAACCCTTCACCCCCGAAACCCAAAACAAAACAATAAAGTTCAACGACAATCAACAATGCAGACCATCGAAGAGGACTCAAAACACTCGCACGAGGACTTCGAATGCGAGGAGCAGCGGCAGGAGCCCGCGGAATGTCCCCCGAAGTTCGGACATCAGTACAAAAACCTCGAGGACGTGGGGAAGGTCCTCGGCCTCATACGGTTATCCTGGCCGGAAGTCCAACTGGAGGACGAGAGGCTCGCGGCTCTGCCACCCAGTTATCGAACAACAACCGAGAAGGAAAAACTTTTACTCTGGTACGCGGAAAACTTCCGCAAACAATTCCACACCATCTGCACGGACCGCCGGCCCCTTCTCCTTGCCTGCGACAACGAGTGCGGCATCCAGGTACCCCCACTCAACGTTTTCAGGGTGATTAATGAGGGCGATTGAACTTGAACTCGTTGAGATTGGAAGACGTGATTCGAAGGGGACTACACTGAGAGAAAAACGACAAAGTTCTCAAACAAGTCTTGCTGGTGCCAAGAAAATAGTTTTTTGAAAATCATCAAAAAAGGATTTTTTGGGCCAAACATGCAGAGAGTGCGTCGGAAGGAAAAATTTTTGTCGCGAAAATAAATTTGGTAGTTCAAAAAAAATTGCATTCTAGCACTAGTCCTTCGTTATTCGATGCTCCCATACGTATTTTGCTCCCGAAAAATCTTTGTTTTATGCGAAACAGGGGTGACACGTCTAAATATTACGGTAAAAAATATCATGCGTCAAAATATCACAAAAAAATATTATTGACAAAAATATCACAAAAAAATATTATTGACAAAAATATCACAGGCCAAAAATATCACAAATCAAAAATATCACGTGATAAATTATCACGCGTTAGAATATTACGCGTTCGGATTACATTTATATTTGCACATCTGTTACCGTAAGAAATCAATATATTTATTTAATATTCTGATTGGATGTACTGGAAGTTAATACTGTATACTGGATAGTTCCTCTTTTTCGTATCTTCTGAAAATATATATTTTTTTACATTGTTTATTTCTCATTACCACGTTTTGGGCGGGTGATATTTTGTCGCTTGATATTTAGACATGTAACCAGCAATCTTGTAACTTAGGAATAAAATATTTATTGATAAATTTTCCTCTGTGAGATATTTTCATCCTGAAAAGGCACCGGCTGGTGTGAACTATCCGCCTCTTGAGCCAAATATTTCGTTGTCGTCGAAAGCAGAACAGTCATTCATTTTTGAGACTTTCAAATTTGAACCAAACAAATTCTTTTTTGGCAATTTTCAACTAGCGATTTTGTTGGCCCAAACAAGACTTGTTTGACGTTTTTGTTTTTTTCTCAGTGTATCGTATTTTTGGAGGTCGGGATTTTCTCGGGAATGAGGGAGCTGAGGGAATATGAGAGATTTTTTTTGTGGTAATTCTTCTTCTAATCCTCGTGGGTTTATCCCCTCAGGGCGGCTGGAGCAAGTGCCATTTGTGGGGAATTGACTTTTCAACAAAAAGATTTGTTTTTATTTCGACATTTAATAAAACAAGGATATTTCAATTTTCTTTTTAAAAGAAGGGTATCTCAAAATTCATGTGAAAGCTTGTTGTTCACATCCATTTCTAATGATTTCAGTAGCGAAGTGGTAAAACGGTTTAAGTCGACTCATCTCGCAGTTGAGTTTTTGAGGAATATTTCCGAATCTAAAAATTTGTTTTTGTCATTTTTGGATTATCTTGGAAGTGAGTGGGTCTAGGGGGAAATGTCAAGAAATAGTTTTTGAAGGTAAGAAAATTTCCTATAAAAAAGGTTCTGTGACTTTTTGGTGTACAATCCGTTATTGATGGGATAATTAACATTAAATGAGATGAAGAAGTTTGGGAAACGAAAATGATGAAGAATGAGTTTTTCTAATTTTGGGAATAGCTCGTTAATCTGTGCATTTAGGATAAAGTGTCAAAAGACATTTTTTGTAAATGAGGGAATTTCCTACAAAAAATTATGAGTGACAATGTCTGCTAAATTCGATAATCGTCGAGATAATTACGATTAAACATAATTGAGATGTTCAGGAGACAATTCCAAGAATTGAGTTTTGCTAATTATACAAAGATTTCATCAACAGGTAGTTCTAATGAAAAATACTAAAGATTTTTATTGAGTGTGAAATTTCCCACAGAATTGTCTCTTGAAATGTCACTAAATCGATAAGTGACCAGACAATAACTTTAAAAGATGGAGAAGTTTGAACACAAATAAAAAATAAAAAACTGATTTTGTTAATTATGGAAATATCTTTTTCACGAGCGGATATAGGTGAAAAAATCAGATCACATTTATGTAGAGTATGAAATTCCCCAACGAAATCGACAAACACAGCCCAATAAACCCCCAGAGAAACAAAGTATTGAAAAAAAAATTATGCTATAAAACCAATTAAGACGTTCAGGAGACAATTTTAAAGATTAAGTTTTGCTAATTATTCAAATATTTCCACAACAGGTAGTTCTAAAGATTTTGATCGAGACTGAAATCTATAGAATTGTCTATTGACCTCTTTCACCTAAAATCAATAATTAGCCAAATAACTAAAAAAGATGAAGTTAAAACAAAAAAATAAAAAACTGATTTTGCTGTTTATGCAAGTATCTTCTTCACGAGTGGATAAAGGTGAAAAAGCCAGAAGGCATTCTTGTAGAGAGTTAAATTCCCAAATTAAATCAATAGCCCAATAGTCCCCCGAACCCCCCAGAGAAACAAAAGGGTATATTGAAAAAAACGAGAAAACCAATGTTTGAATTTCGATTTTTAATACCTCATTATCGATAAATATTCAATTAAATAATCTTCAATGACTTTCACATTGTACAAAGGCATATTCGTATAAAAAAATGGTAGTTGAAACGAAAAGAAAAATCAAACGATCGAAAAAAAAAAAAATTCTCCAATTTCTGTTCCCCTGTTTCTTCAATAAATCCTGGAGCAAAAAACTAAACATAACGAAATAATCGAGGATTCACAGGAATGTTTGAAAATAGCATAATATCATTGAGACTCAATCCTTTTAATTTTTCATTAACACACGATAAATTTAACTGCAATTCATGAAAATTTCATCTATTACACTCAAACTCTGAAACATTCCCACTAATTCATTTTTTCCTTTCTAAATAATAAAAATAAACTTCACTATACATTTATCCATACATGCCTTTATATGTAACTACAGTATGTTATGCGCATCGTTTTGTCATTTTAAATTACCTAACTTGATCATAAACCACTTGTATCTCTCACAATGAATTTAACGAGCGCAGTCATGTATTATGTACAAGCCATTCACCCTGGCCATCTATCATCGCTTTGGTTTTAATATCAATTATAAATTATATGTATTCATTTAAACTCTTAAATTTTCGCTCTACACCGGAGTCTCGTGCCCCCGTTATTTTCACCCCGAGCCTTCATTAAACTAAAAAGAAAAAAATTATTTTACATAATTGATTTAAATTCTCATAATTGCATTTTGAGACTCGATTAATAATCGGGTGACACGAGTAACCAGAGTATAAAATAATCTCGACGTCAATACTCACTTTGATACAGTTATATTAAACTTTGTTTTATCTAAAAATTTTCAAAGCCCATCACACGAACGCTCGATACATTATTTACACAAAATATTATCTTGCGAACAACAATTTACATTTTAGGTAGAAGTAATTCGGCGTTTAAGCGTTGAATGACGTCGAGGGTCAAATTTTTCTTTATTACTTATGACGTTTATGATTAATTAATTACATTGGTTTGATTTTCTTTTTGTCTAGAAATTCGTATCGACGAATATAAGACCGAGCACGCTGCCATATCCGCAGCTACACACGTGGCTGGGCTGCGCCAAATTCGTCAGCGATCATCTTGCCTACGAGCCGCTCAGCAAACCCTTGGCACTGGTGAGTGACCCATTGGGGAGTTTTAATTATCTCGAGGGGGGATTTTATGTTTTTTTGGCTCTGGGTTGGGATGCAGATTTTTTTGTTCTGGGATAACTTCGGATGTAGTGGGCTAGGGGCAGTGACGAGTGCTTTTTTGTGGAGAATTTTATAAAATATAAATTGAGGTGACACTTTTTGAAAAATTCGATAGGTTTTGAAGGATTTTATAAATTGTGCAAGTGAATATTTTCGTTTTTTTGGAGGAGTTTGTGAATATTTCGGAAATGAGTGAGTTTAGAAAAAAATGTTGAATAGGTTTTTTGGAGAGAATTTTATGAACTACAAAAAGTTCTTGTGACTTTTTTCCGAAAATTCAATGGTTTTCGAAATATTTGCAAAACACTCTGAGTGGAATTTTTCATTTTTCGTTGGAAATGAAAAAAAGCATGTAGACTAGTTTGAAAATAGTCCGAGCGCGAATGGGTTTAGAAAAAAATGTTGAATAGTTTTTTTGTAGAGAATTTTATGAGCCACAAAAAGTTCCTGTCACATTTTTTTGAAAATTCAATAGTTTTTGAAATATTTGCAAAACAGTCTGAGTGAAATTTTTCATTTTTTGTTGGAAATGAAAAAAAGTATCTAGACTAGTTTGCAAATATTCCGAAAACGACTGGGTTCAGAAAAAAATGTCACACAACTTTTTTGTACAGAATTTCATAAGTTACAAAAAGTTTCTGTGACATTTTTTTGAAAATCCAATAATTCTCCAAATATTTGCAAAACAGTCTGCGTGAAATTTTCAAATTTTTCTAGAAGATGAAAAAATCGTCCGAACTTGCAAATATTTCAACAGGTGAGTTTATAAAAAACCATTAACCCTTTTTTTGAAGAATTTCATAATCTAAAATCCTACTCATGTCATTTCCCCTAAAACCCATTCAGTAGCGAAGCGGTAAACCGGGTTAAGTCGATTTTGACTTTTCGTCAGTTTTTGGACGGATATCTCGGAACCTAACAGAGATAGCGAAATTTTGCCCATAACCTTTTTTATAACACTTAATTGCATCTCCAAAAAAGGTTATAACAAAAAATTTTCTATCTCTTTTAGATTCCGAGATATTCGTCAAAAACTGGCCAATAATCAAAATCGACTTAACCCGGTTTACCGCTTCGCTACTGCATTCAAAGCCCCGAGAAATTCCCAAAACAAAACATTAAAAAATGCTCCCTAAAATTTTCAAAAACCTCCCACCTCCAAAATTCCCAAAAAAACCAAAACCCGCGATATCCCCACAAATCTCAAAAAAAAACTTCCCAAAATCCGAAACTATCCTTTGAAGCCCTCCATTCCCTGCAATCCCCTGCACTCCCCTCCAAAACCTGCTGATATGACCCATTGAGCCTCGACTCACCCCAAGCCCTCGAAAAATGCTCACCAGTGCCTCCTCTCCCCCCCGAAATTTGGTATAACAATCCTATGTACAGCCCCTCCCACCGTCTTACTTCCTACTCTGTTTCGCGGTCGTAGACTTCTTCCTGCACGCCTTAAGATTATCAATAAGATACTTGAACTGAATGATCTGCACCCTGGTGACAGCGGGTTCGCTGCACTTCTCCAGCCACTGTACAAACTTCTCCCCATGCTCAATGGCCTCCTCACTGCTAATTCCCGCCTCCCTCTCCCCGCTCTCCTCCCCCTCGATAAAATGCTTGACATTCTCATTATTATTATTACACAAAACATTATCAAGAAGAGCCCTCGTCTTGCTCGGTGATTTTTTGGCGACAGGGGTGGCAAGTGGTGCACCAGGATAATTGAACTGCTTGTACCACTGCCAGAACCACGAGCCATCGTGATGATTATTACTGAGATTGAAAGCAGCTGATTGTTGGCCGAGCAGCTGTTGCTGCTGCGTCAGCCACATCCAAAGTGCCTCATCGGCCTTTTTGTTGTGATGATTCGGCTGGATCTCCCTCTTCTCCCTCGTCCCCGAGTCGCTGGTCTTCCTCGGTGAAGCAGGTACTGGTGTCTGTGGTGCCTCAGCAGCCGGTGGAAGGCTCTTCCTCGAGGACTTGACCGCCTCCATCTGCGCGGGGGCAACTGCCGATGTACTGTGCCTCTTGCCCCCGTTGCTCTTGGTGTACTGAAGGCCATTCTCGACGAGTCCCACTGCACTGCTGTGCGGCACCATCGGCATACTCAGGAGGCCCTTCGCCAGGGGGCTCCCACCCCCCGACAACAGTCCCAACTGCTGCAGCAGTAGTGCACTGTTCTCCGGTCTCATTCCCGCCATACTCGTCATCAAACTCGTGACGTAATCAATTCGCGATGTCTCGCTCATTCGCGCGTCGTTCTCCGAATTTTCGCTTATGTAGGATGAGCCCGCGGTCGTATCGACCTTTGCCCTCTTCACGCAGGGCCCTTCCTCCTCGCTCGAGTGATTGGCGTGGGCCATCGTCAGGTTTGTCCCTGAGGAGGACGCCGGTGAGTGCGCCTCACTGTCTGGGGTAGATGAATTTCTCGCCATTCCGCGAATTTTTTGCTCGGATTTGCACCAGCCTCGAAGGGTTGACTCCGGTACACCTATGTCACGGGCCACTGACGCTTTACTCTCACCCTCGTGCACACGCTGAATCGCTTCCATCTTCTCCGATGCCGAGAGCGCACGCAGGGGACGCTTCCCCGGACGCGCTGATTCACCTCGCATTTTTGAGTTTTTTTTTTTTCGAGATGTACAAATGGGTTTAGCGTGCTTGTTTATTGGGGGATTCGAGGACGGGGGCCGCGGGAATGGCACATGCGCGAGAGTAATAAAGAGTTTTTTTATGAATGAAACAACCTCCCACTACTGCGGGGGGAGGGGGCACCGGCTGCGCGGGAAAATTATTCCGTCTTCACTGTGGATTTTATTCGGGTGTTGAGAGATGTTTGAAATTCTCGGCGACTGGTGAAATTCAAACGTTTCACTGATTAACTATCACTCGACACTGATAAGATTGTCAATTTCACTTGGTTCATTATTTTTTTTTTCGTCTCACTGCTTTTGGTTGACGAGAAATAATAAATGAGGAATTATCTTTGGCACTGGTGATCACCGGAGTCTCAATGGTATCGCACACTGGCATTCACTTAACTTGAGTTTAAATATCCACAGTGGATTAAAATCCCATCGAGCGTCACTCAACAAACACCGAGAATATTCCCTCGCAGTATTTGTAAACAGGCAAGAGTTGTATATTTTTCGGTGTTGGCGCGAGGGTATATTGGCCCCGCGGTTGTTCGACCTCGACTGAAGACTCCAACAGCTCCCTTCGCACACGTTTCGGCACGTAAACGTGTTCTACCCCCACCATCGAATTATTTTTCACTGCCCCCCTCCCCCCACAACCCTCGGCTGTCGCACTCAGCCGCCTTCCCCTCTGCGCCCCCCGCCCCTCCGCCGCCCGTCACCCCCCTTACGCTCGGGTGTATCGGCAAATCACTCGTCCAATCGCCTTATCCCCCCCCGCGCCCTCCTCGACCCTCTGTTCCATCCGCTTTATTTCGGAATTGCACGTGAAATGTTGAAGACACACAACTTGCGCCCTTGCGGTTCTCAGGCGATGGAAATTTTTTTTTCGCCGATTTTTCCGCGAATTTAATTCGACGAATTGGTGTTTTTTTTTTTCAAATGCTTTTCGCGTTTATTATTTGAGTTCTGTTATTTTATTTTTTTTCTCTTTGTTTTTTTTGTTTTTTTTTTTCGTACGTAAATGCGAGATTATACCCTCGCGCGGCGAATCGCGACGCTCAACTGTGGCCGAGGGACGCCAGCTTTCCGCGGACTCGCGACGCCGTTCGCCGCCTCAATCCCAACGACACGGCGGGGGGTGGGGGGTGTTGAGGGGGCGGAGGCGGGAAGGGGGGAGGGGTTCTCTTCTCTTGTCGTCGTCATCGACTCGAGTTCTCGGTCTCTCTCGTGTTCCCTCGTTTGATGGCTCTCGTGCGTCCGAACCGGCCTTACCCCACCCCCTCTTGAACGACTCCCCCTGGGCTCTCTGGCCTACGTGTTTATTCTCCCTCTCTGTCGTTTCCCGTCGCGTTCTGACCCCTCGTTTGTGCAACGCCGTCGACTCGAATCCATCTCCCCTAGAGCCCCCCCCCCCCCCCCCCCCCCCCCCCCCCCCCCCCCCCCCCCCCCCCCCCCCCCCCCCCCCCCCCCCCCCCCCCCCCCCCCCCCCCCCCCCCNGAGCCTACGTAGCACGACGCAAACGTATCGTTTCCTTTTATTTTTATTTTTGGGGGAGGGGGAAGGAACCCTTGGCGATGCGCGGAGGAACAATTGATGTTTCGGGGGAAATTGGAGCGATTGGTTCGGAGGATTTTAAGGTGTATCCCGAGACAATAACACCCGAAAGTCGGTCCCTGTGGATCTCCGGAAAGAATTCGAAATGACTTGATGTATTGCATTTTAATAAGTTATTGCGTTTTTTATTATTACTAGTTATTATTATTTATTATTTATTAACTGCCGCCAATATGTGTACCGGAAATTTCAGACGAAAATGTTTCACAGTGAATATGAAATTATTTGTTAATTAATTGGTTGAATCAAATAAATGCTTTCATGAAATTTCCATTTTTTAGAGTTGAATATCGCAGAAACTATGTAGAACAAAATTTTACAAGAAATTCACCGTATTCGGAATTTATCAATTTATCATGGATTGGTTTTTTTTTTTAATTAAGAACCGTTATCTCAGAGGAAGGAAAAATCGAGTTCGGGAGACCCCTAACCCCCGTTTGGCTTATGCCTCGCGTGTTAGACGTGCGCATTCAATTATTTATCGTCTCCTAAACTGTGTTGTACAGGTAGTTAGAATTTCTTTCAATTGCTGGGGACTATTATAAACGTTATCTATGAAAAACCTGGGGACAATCTTAAGAAAAACATGTTTTCTAGGGATATACCTTAAGGGGAGACTACTATGAGTTTTAAAAGTCGTAGGTTATTGGAGTGAGACTTTTCATACGTTGAACATCGGTTATGTAGATCTGAAAGCAAATAATTAGTGCAAAAAAATTTTTTTTTATTGTTCGTTTGCCCGAAAACGCTTGAAATGCTAAAAACAGTCCAGAGCCTCCAATTTTTGAGCTACAAAAGATTTTTTTTCTTCAAAATTTTCGGAAAAATGTGTGGAAAAATAATTACGAGCCATTTTTTGGAATTTGACTCCTACACAGCTGATTTCGGTTTTTTTCAGATAAAAAAATTCACTATTTGTGTAAAAAAATACAAAAAAAGGAAATTTTGCCATGTAAGAGGCGAATTAAAAAAAATAGCTCGTAATTGTTATTCCATATATTTTTCCGAAAATTTTGAAAAAAAAAACTCCTTCATAGCTCAAAAATTGGAGGTCCTGGACTGTTTTTGGCATTTTAAGCGTTTTCGGGCAAACGAACAATAAAAAAAAATTTTTTCTGCACTAATTATTCGTTTTCAGATTTATATAATCGACCTTCAATGCATGAAAAGTCTCACTCCAATAACCCACGACTTTTAAAACTCATAGTAGTCTCCCCTTAAGTGGAGAGATGTAACTCGAGAGAATGCAGAAAAAAAAAATTGTTTTTATCAATTTTGAAGGACACATTTGAAAAATATCTCTGGAGGGAGGCTTCTGTTATTATTATTTAAAGCTTCGTATCTAGGAAATGAAACATGAAATGTGGAAAGAATAATTGTTGATGGCATCAGTTGATGAAGAAACTTCTTAGAATTTCAATTTAAAAAAACGTATTTCGGGGAGATTTATTCTCACTGGAAATTAGAGCGATAGGTTTGATGGATTCTGAGTGGAGAAATGTAACCCGAGGGAATGATGAAAAAAATAGTATATTTCAGGACGAGTGCCGTGGGGTTTTCCACTCGTGTGGCGTTGGCGACCGAGCCGAGGACCAGTAAAAAAACCATGACACTAGTCGTGGGCGATATTTTTCTGTGGTGATTTTCACTTTTACGAGTTTGGGGAAGGGCCCATGCCAATCCCCGGACGAGGAAAAGTGAAGAGAACCATACGGACAACGTATTGTTTTTATCAATTTTGGAGAAACGATTTGAAAATTAGCAGTGGAGTGAGGTTTCGAGATTTACGACTATTTTAGCTTTTATCTAGACAATAAAACATGAAATATGAAATAATAAGTGTTAAAGGCGACAGTAGCTAAAGAAAAATCTCAGAATTTCAATTTAGAGTGAATGGGTTTCAAGGATTTTAAGTGGAGAGTTGTAACTGGAGGGAATAATTTAAAAAAAGAAAAATTTATTCGAGTATCTAATATACTTGATTCACGTATATTTTATACTCAATTCAAGAATATTTTTTCCCCACGGAGAGAAAAATTCAATAAAAATTACCAGAAAAAAACAACGACGAATTGTGCGACCCTCATCATATTCTGATAGAATCAGGAGGGTATTGTTATCAATTTTTTGCGCCATGACTAATTCCATTTTGATGACAATTTTTTGAGGGATCGTTGAAAAATAGATTTTTGGAAGAATATCAATTTTTTCGAATCTATGAAATTGGTGTCAATAAATTGAACTTATTGAAGTGTATTCCTGAAAAAACGCTATATTCATGAAAAATTTCATGAAATTGGATTGATCTCTTTTAACCCTTCGTTGCTCGTGTCCACGACATCGCGCCGCACGGAGAAAAAAAATTAATAAAAATTACCAGAAAAAAAACGTTAAAATTACGCTTCGAAATGTAATCCGCGAGCGAAGTAAAATTTAATAAGAAGTGCGAGTCGAAACTAAAATTGTACGAATCGCCACGTAAATTCTACAATTTGTTCCGTCAAAATTAACAACCCGTCTGATGACTCACCGCTGTGGGGACAACAAGTCGTTCCGTAATTTTTCCCCAACGATTGAGAAATTTTGCGGAACGGAACGTAAAAATAATTCACCAGCTTCATAAAAATTGTTGAAGTTCAAGAATTTTTGATTTTGGAGGCATAATAAGTCGGCAATTTTCTGTGAGATTTTACTTCATCGGAAAAAATTACGTGACAATTTCGTACTTTGTTCGGTGATGAGCCTGAAAATTCTCTGAACGTTTCAGATTTCTTCTCTTCCGTTCCTATAAAAATTTCCGGAAAACGATTCCCCATTGCGGATTACGTTCCGTAATTTTTACTGAAAATTTCTCTCCGTGCATGTTGACATAGATCTATTGAAATAAAAATTCCCGAATAAGTAAACGAGAAACGTGGAATTGCTGAGATTGACCCTAGTCTGGTCACCTGACGGGAAAATACGACTAGTCACCTTCGTGGGAGAGTGCCGCCGTGTTATTTAGGTTCCAGCGTTGCCGAATCCACTCTACACTTCCCGGGCGCGTTTAGCGAGTTCCCAGCAACATCGTATTGAAAAAAAAATACTAGAATTTTCCAGATACATCAATTGACGAATTCAATTTTTCTCAATTTTTTCCGGTCAACCAGTCGATGGCCAGGTGAATAAAACGACGTGTTGTTTGTGGCAATTCCCTCGCATGGTGACCAGTCTAGGGTTAAGTGCAACCAAACGATGGAAGGTATTTTCCTGGAAAAGTGTGAATTCGCGAACACCAGGGATTTCCAGGTAAATCGAATAGAACAAGTTGCTTAATTTATTCCACATGGCCGTGGGTTTATTGGCAGAAAGAGTTCGTAGATTTTTTTTTAATGGTCGTTGTATAATGTAACCCCTGTTGCACGTGCTTGGCTTTTATTTTTTCGTTCTGCTTCCTCCCCTCCTTCCTGCGAGGGTGGAAGCCGGATAAACGGTGCTTTAAAAATGGGCTGCCGAGTTGACTATACCCCACTCGTAAAATGTTTTCAATGAAAAAAAAAAAAGAGGAAATAAATAAGTCATAATGAAAGAGATGTTTTGCGTTTTGTGGGGGTTACGGAGTAATTTTTGACTTCCGGTTTGGAGTGTGATTTCATTTAAAGGGGAGTCACTAATAGTCATTTATTTATTTTTTTTCTCGTGATTGTTTTTCCATTCTTTTCTTTTGATTTTTGATGGACATTTTTTTTGGGGAATTTTTCATTTGCGAATGGAGGCTTTTTAATCGTTCAAACTTAATATTCCGTGAATAAAATGAAAATTGTACTGATTATCTCATTTTTCAATAATATTACTCATGGATAATCTTGTGATCAATTATTTTTTCTATTTATTAAATATTGATCAATAGAAAAAATAATATTGATCAATATTTAATAAATAGAAAAAATAATTGATCACATGATTTTCCAATTTTCTCTCTAATTCTAATATTTCTAATATTCATTAAATATTGATCAATAGAAAAAATAGGGCCCAGT